AAGTTAAACTAACTTCATTTTGACGAGAATTTTTTTTTTCATGAAAAATTTGCTGAAATGAGTGAAAATTAAAAAAACGGTGTATTTTCCAGGATAAAAATCCGTACAATCCGTACAATTTGAAAACAAATCCGTACAATCCGTACAATTTTAGGGTTAAAAAAAACAATCCGTACAATCCGTACAATCCGTACATTTTGGCCACCCTCAAGATACCTCTCTGATATCCTTCCTAAGATACCTTTCTGATATCCTTCCTAGGAGATACCTCTCTGATATCCTTCCTAAGATACCAGCTCTGATATCTTTCTTAAGATACCAGCTCTGATATCCTTCCGAAAATACCTCTTTGATATCCTTCCTAAGATAAGTTTATGATATCCTTCCTAAAATACCAGCTCTGACATCCTTCCAATTATACCTCTCTTATATTCTCCCTTTGAGACCTCTCTCATACCCTTCCTAAGATTACTATACCTCCTTGAAATCCAGTGCCCATCCAAAAAGATACCCTATGAGAACTCTCTAATAGATATATATCTCAAATCCCCTAAATAATTTAACCTGTGTGCCCTCTCTGAAATCCTTCCTATTGCCCAGATAACTGAAGTTTCTCCCGTCTCCGGTATTTCATGATCCCCAGGATCTCCAAGATTAGAGAAGGTGGTTCGGTAGGTCAGAGCAGTAACTCCGTTCTCCCTAGGCGAAAAAACAATGTACGGTCAACTCAAACCATGAGGGTCTTATTTTAGGTAAAAACTTTGGACGTAATTTCAAGTGACCCTCAATTTACAGAGGGGGATATTCGATTCACAACAGTACCCTTTAACCCTTTTTCTGATTCTAAATTATAAAGATAAAACCATGTCTTTAATATTAAATTGTCAATCGCAGTTCGCTGCAAAACTAACTTGCGGATTTATGCTTCAGGATTATTTAGACACAATGGAGGTAATTGAGAGAACGTTATCTTTGTACTGTACTGCCAATACAGGGCTAATTAGGGGACTGTTGTGAATCGGGTATGTAACACTTTAAATTGAGTGTCATTTGAAGTTAGGTGACAGTCCCTTTTGGCATTTAAAGCTGTAATAGTACAAATTGAAAGTACATGCGTTGGGTTTATCAGCTTTAGATATCAAGATTTTGGTATTATTAGTTTTTAGTGAAATTTTACACTTTGACTTGATTTAAATAAAGAGTTCTTTTATGTAATAATGTGCAGGAGACGATACTAGACAATAGACTTGTTATCAAATACAAGATGTTTTGAAAGACGACATTAGCTGTAGACTTACTTCGATGCTGAGTGTAGTTGATGATTATTTATTCCTCCAAGAACCTCGTCACTGCAAGCTCCTCTCTTATCTCTCTCACCCAAGCAAACGGATCTATCAAGAACAAAAGTCAAAAACAATGAGGGATCTGAACACTCGTAGCAAACTCTAATTTACCTTTAACAATTTGTAACATTAGAAAGTGACTTCGAAAATCCTAAAAACAAAAAAATCCAAAAAATCATTTAAAAATATTCTTACTTTGCTGTTAGATTATAATCTTCCACGTGTCCGAGAAATTCGTCCATGTATACGAGAGCAACATCACCGCCAATCATAGCGTTCTCCCCCTGCCGTCCACTGATACCAAAAGCCATGTATTCGTCATCTTGAATGAAACCCGACAACTAAAAAGAAATCTTCTTAAATTAAAATGATTTTTAACAATTAAAATTTTATAAACTAAGTTGCACTTTTTAAAATCAATTAATATCTAAACAATCCATTTAAGATTTTTTAACTCTACTTTGACTTCTATATTAACTTCTACTTTGACTTTGACTTCTGCTTTGACTTCTACTTTGAGTTAAAAATATATTAAATTACAAAAGTTTCGTAACTCCCGTCAACCAGTGTACACTGTACACGCAGGTTGTACATGACGTACATGAAACGTACCTGTATAGTTAACTGAGGAGGAAAAGATTCCCATGCAACCATTAGATTCTTATGTAACATTACACAGTTGGGTAACCCTGGTAATACACAACAGTTAATTATCTAATCATTTCCTACTCCCATACTTTAAAGTTCAAACTTAATATGACCATACTAAATTAATTTGAAGTAAGGGTAGGTTTGTAACAGATTAACCGACTGAATATACATATATCTATTAAAAAAAAAAACAATATGGAAAATCCTAAAAGGTTTCGCTTTTTTATTTAAGAAAACTTCCCAAACCAAACACAATTCAGTATTGGGCATTCTTTTATCAAGTACACGAAGAAAACAAGTTGAAAAGATATGAGAATGAGAAAATGTAAGTTTGAGCTACGTGTTTACTGTTCAATTCCTTTTAATTTAATAGTTCACTGTACACCGTGCACTGTTCTTATGACAGTATACTGTACATTGTGACGTACTTTAAACACAGTACCTGTTCTATGCTCCATAACATCGACCAGGCTGGGCGGTACATTCAAGTCCTGTGGGATGATTATGTACGCTGAACCAATACTTAGTCAGTATAATTATTTAAATGTGAAACAAGGCAGAAACTAAGTTTTAGGGAAAACATTTCCATCATTGCTTTAACAAATCTGAGTAGTTATTCAAATTCACAAAATGGTACGAATTCAGTATCCATAGATTTTTCCAACCAACTTTTGATCTTTTAAAAAATCGCGGGCTCTGGAAAATTAATAAGAAATATCCGACACAAAGTATCATTATTTCCCTCAGTGACAGTTTTAAGCGGAGAAATTGGATTATTTTTGTTCCGAATTCCAATTTTAGCTAATATATGAATAAACAAACAAACAAACAAACTAACTAACTAACTTACTAACAAACTACTTGAGTGAAGTTTACTACATCAAGTATTGCCTATGTACTTCTCGTTCGCTTTGTCGTACAGGGCCAACCAGTCGATCAGAAATACAGTCTGGGTTCCTGATAAAATTATCGTTAATAACGGTTCAGATTTTGTAAAAAGAAAAGGGTCTGAATTAAAATAAGAATAAACTCTCCTTCTGCTACACAAATATAGATGGATTGTAGATGTTTTTTTAAGTAACCCTTCATTTATAGGGTGGCCTGTCGGATTCAGAACGGTACCCTTAAACCATATTTTAAGCTGTACACAAATGAGGTTGTATATGTCATCCATGATGAACAAAGGTTTCAAGGGTACCGTTGTGATTTGGATACGCCTCTCTATCTCTGGAAGGTCACTTGACAATATGTCCAAAAACAGTCCCTTTATTTAACCTGGCAGTTGAAGAATTACATCCTTGTTATCATAAACTCCCAAGGGAGCTAAATATCCCAATTCATCAGGAACTATAAATCCTCGCGAAGATGGCTGAGGTCCCTCTCCGGCAAAGAAAAAAACCTCGCCCCCGGTCCCATCGTAGGTGAAGGCCGGGATCTTGATGGTCTTGGAGTCCATCACAAGGACCTGGTCGGACTTCACGGAGTAACCAGCTTCAAGTTTAGATAAACTCTGAAAATAATTTTAAAAAATTAAAAGAAAATCTCATAAAAAATGTGTACATTAAGAACTAATTATTATAAAAATAAAAACAAGTTTTGAAGAACTTTAGCTTTTATGAAGTAGTGTTCGCTATCAATCTTTGCTCCGAAAAGGTAAAAAAAAAATATTGAAAATCTAAGCTATTCTATACAGTATGTATGAGAGCTTAAAAATAATTTATAACACCGTCATATTTTCACAAAGAGGTTTAAAATCTTTTCAAATATTTCTAATTCCGAACTTTAAAAAGTTAAAACATATAAAATCTAAAAATAACATAAAATAAAATCAATCTTATTTCTAGAAATACCTGATATCCCGGAGGGTCGAAATCGGAAGGAATATACACATCTCCGAAATTACTCTGCGACGAAATGTCAAAAACTGAAAACCATTTTAACTCCTGTATTCGCTTATTACTCGGTAACTGAAAGAAGAATAAAAATCTTTTAAATCCGTAAAATTGGTTGGAACCAAAACAAAGTGGAATTCTTGTAGTTTGTTTTCATAATGAATTTTGTGATCATGAAATGAAGTATTTCTAAAAATATGCCCTGAACTGGAAACATAAAAAAAACATTAATTGCCATAATTTCCACATACAATTTGAGACATTAAAAGGAAAAACAAAGACGAAATTTATTCCTCGGTTTTCTAACTTTTGCGGTAAAAAAAAAGATTATTCATTATTGAATATAGTACACGTTGAGGTCAAAAAGTACAAGTAGATTTTCGCCTTTCTTAATCTAATAGGCAGATAAGTACCAACCTTCAACGTGAACTCTTCATTGTAATATTTGTCGAGCACGTTTGTTTTCCCATTGTTATCAGGAACTATAAATCCTTTCGAACCGGGTCTGAAATAAACTAATAAAATCAAAAAACCAGATATCAATATCTTTATAAATACCTTGCTTGTTTTTGTTAGTCTGTTTGTAATTGTATCAACGTAAATGACTGAATCGTGCCCAAATTTGTTGTGGGGTATCATAGGGAAGGTGTTGAGAAGAGAATTTAAAAAATTTGCCTGAAAAACTTTCCGTTCTTCAAAATCCACGAAATAATATAAATAAATCCGCGAATTTTTTTTATTGTTTGATAATTTTTTAAAGAGAAATTGTCGCGGAAAGAGCAACAAGTTCGGGGAAGGCTAGTAATTATAAAATTTATCTTTTAAAATTCAATTTTACCTGTTTGAAGATCCAGCCCAAAAGAACGTATCCTTTCCATTCCCGTCATATACAAAATCTTTGAGAAGAATAGTGGAGTCATCTACAGCAAACACTTCTCCGGAAACCTGCATTCATTTTTAGCTTAGAAATTCATCAAGTTAATTTAACTTAAATACAGGGTTACCCACAATTAGGATGCAATTTCAGAGAAATACAGGGTTTCAAACAAAGGATGTGACTTTAGAGACATCAAGGGTTACCAAGAACAGTGGGAGAAAGAAAATTTTTAGACAAGGGAGAGGGAATAGAAGCAATGGGAGAATGAAAAGGAAAGCGTAAAACGTGGAATGAAAGGGAAAGAGGAAATGGTGGAATGAAAGGGAAAGAGGAAACGGTAAAATGAAAAAGAAAGAGGAAAGGGTGAGATGAAATAGAAAGAGGAAAGGGTGGAATGGAAGGGAAAGAGGAAAGGGTGGAATGAAAGGGAAAGAGGAAATGGTAAAATGAAAAAGAAAGAGGAAAGGGTGAGATGAAATAGAAAGAGGAAAGGGTGGAATGGAAGGGAAAGAGGAAAGGGTGGAATGAAAAGGGAAAGAGGAAAGGGTGGAATGAAAAGGGAAAAAGTGGAATGAAAGGGAAAAAGTGGAATGAAAGGGAAAGAGGAAAGGGTGGAATGAAAGGGAAAGAGGAAAGGGTGGAATGAGAGGGAAAGAGGAAAATGTGGAATGAAATGGAAAGAGGAAAGTGTTTAATAGAAGGGATACAGGAATGTGTGGAATGAAAGGGAAAGAGGAAAGGGTGAAATAAAAGAGAAAGAGGAAAGGGTGGAATGAAAGGGAAAGAGGAAAGGGTGGAATGAAAGGGAAAGAGGAAACGGTGGAATGAGAGGGAAAGAGAAAAGGGTGAAATGAAAGAGAATGAGGAAAGGGTGGAATGAAAGGGAAAGAGTAAAGGGTGGAAAGAAAAGGAAAGAAGAAAGGGTGGAATGAAAGAGAAAGAGGAAAGGGTTGAATGAAAGAGAAAGAGGAAAGGGTGGAATGAAAGGGAAAGAGGAAAGGGTGGAATGAAAAGGGAAAGAGTGGAATGAAAGGAAAAGAGGAAAGGGTGGAATGAAAGGGAAAGAGGAAAGGGTGTAATGAAAGGGAAAGAGGAAAGGGTGGAATGAGAAGGGAAAGAGTGGAATGAAAGGGAAAGAGGAAAGGGTGGAATGAAAGGGAAAGAGAAAAGGGTGGACTAAGAGGGAAAGAGGAAAAGGTGGGATGAAAGAGAAAGAGGAAAGGGTGGAATGAAAGGGAAAGAGGAAAGGGTGAAATGAAAGGGAAAGAGGATAAGGTGGAATGAAAGGGAAAAAGGAATGGGTGGAATGAAAGGGAAAGAGGAATGGGTGGAATGAAAGGGAAAGAGGAAAAGGTGAAATGGAAGGTTGACTTAAGGAAAGGGTGAGGTTGAGTTGTTAGGTCAACCTTAAGATGAATTTTTAAACCTTTTCTCAAAGGTGAAGTGGAAGTGGGGAAAGGGTCTCCGGATTTCCATAATGTGGTCTTCCTCAAGTCAACCTTACATTCCACCCTTGCAAATCAATCTTTCACGGGGGGGGGGGGGAGAAGAAAATGAGGTTGAAAGGTAGGGGTCAGTACTGATAAATATGTTGAAGGTCAAGGATATCATTTGTAGCTCTTACATAGGAATACGATTCCTCACTGATATCATAAATTGATATTCGGAGATTAACCCAGTTTTAAAAACTGATAAATTGATAATTCTAAATGAATAAAACCCATTTTATGTCATCATGTCTTCTACCCAACTAGAGAAAGATCTCATAACAAAATAATATTAGCGCTGCCCAAGTTCGGTTTATGCAAATTCTAAGAATTAAATTTAGATTCTGATCTGGGGATTTGAAACAGCAATTCCAAGAAGTTAAACTGACACTTCCCTGGTCACAGATGCTTTATCAATCTTTATTATCCAATATTGTTGTTTCCTTCATACTTGTACTACAGGCCTTCATTGCATGTGATTACATGATAGTACAAGTTTTATAATACAATGTGTATTAATAAATAATCCTATATACTCCTAGTACTCCTCTAATGTAACCTGATGATGATACGAGTTCAGGGATCCAATAAATAATCCTATATACTCCTAGTACTCCTCTAGTGTAACCTGATGATGATACGAGTTCAGGGATCCAATGTATAATCCCATATACTCCTAGTACTTCTCTAATGATACCTGACGATGATATGATATTCAGGGATCCAATGTATAATCCCATATACTCCTAGTACTCCTCTAATGATACCTGAGCTGAAAACTTTGGAATGGGATATCCTTAATCCTGATCAGATAATTAATCTGGAGATTAAAAATGAGAGGAGAACAAGCAATATTTAATCTCGAGATTAAGAAAAAGAACGGATTAAGCATTAATCCCGATATCCACCATTCAAAAGTTTTCAGCTCTGATGATGATATGATATTCAGGGATCCAATGAATAATCCCATATACTCCTAATACTCCTTTTATGATACCTGATGATGATAAGAGTTAAGGGATCCAATGTATAATCCCATATACTCCTTATTCTCCTCCTCGAACTGACCCTCTGCTCTGGGTATACTCCAGACTATGGAGTACATCAGTAACAACAACATTGTGTGTCTAAACTTCGTACAAGATCTGAAACGAGAACTTTTAATGCTTTGGATGTAATACACATTAAAAGTACTTATACGGCTTAAAATATGAATGTAGTGCTTTTAATGAATACATATCTGTGATTTACTTTTTAAATGCTGTTGAGCTCGCATTTAAATACTGTTATGATAAACAGAAAATGAGTGTAATTCATTTATTGTGAACTAAGGTTCAAATTTATTATATGCAAGTTAAAACATAATGCTATAAGCTTACCCTTATACCCCTTATAATTTTTAACTAAAAACATTTTTGATAAATGGCAGCAATTTAAATTAGGATCAAATTAGAAGGTTCAGAAAGAAGAATATATAAATAACACTGATGAGGAAAAATCAAGGATTAGAAAGGAACTCAGGGGAATTAACGATGAATAAAACGGACAAGGATTATGAAAAATGGGATACGAAGGGAAACAATGAACAAAAGAGACAAGGACTAGGAAAAACTAGAATTCTAAGGGGACAGATTAACAGAAGTAACGAGGATTATGAAAAGACTAGGATACTAAAGGGAGAATAAGTGACAAGGATTATAAAAAAATAGGATAAATAGGAAAAATTAGGGAACAGACGAGCAAGAGTTACGAGGATTATGAAAAATAGGATACTAAAGGGACAGATGAACAAAAGTTACCGAGGATTATGAAAAACTAGTGATACTGGGTAAAAGATACTGGGCACAGGATACNGGATACTAAGGGGACAGATGAACAAAAGTTACGAGGATTATGAAAAACTAGGATACTAAGGGGACAGACGAGCAAGAGTTACGAGGATTATGAAAAACTAGGATAGTAAGGGGACAGATGAACAAAAGTTACGAGGATTATGAAAAACTGGGATACTAAGGGGACAGATGAACAAAAGTTACGAGAATTATGAAAAACTAGGATACTAAGGGGACAGATGAACAAAAGTTACGAGGATTATGAAAAACTAGGATACTAAGGGGACAGATGAACAAAAGTTACGGAGGATTATGAAATACTAGGATACTAAGGGACAGACTAACAAAAGTGACAAGGAATGTGAAAAACTAGGATGCTTAGGGGACAGACGAACAAAAGTGACAAGGATTGTGAAAAACTAGGATACTAAGGGTACAGGTGAACAAAAGTGACAAAAGTTGTGAAAAACTAAGATACTGAGGGGACAGACGAACAAAAGTGAAACTGATAATGAAAAACTAGAATACTTAGACAGATGAACAAAAATGACAAGGATTATAAAAACTAGAATACTTAAGAGGACAGATGAACAAAAATGACAAGGATAGTAAAAACTAGGATACTAAGGGGAAAGAAGAACAAAAAGGGAGATGCATTTATAAAAGGTATTAATTAGAAAAGGTCGAGGATTACATCATAGATAATGAAAAAGTTTAGGTAGGAATTGGGAAACATGATAAAATCTACGATTGCAGATTAGCTAACGAATACGGTAAGAAGGTTTAGAAAATTTAAAAAGCAAATAAAGATCATGCCTTAATTTATCAAATACATGTTCTATAATTCCTGTTCTAGCAAAGTAAAAGGATTTAGTGTCACAAGAATATCAACTAGCACCTTAGTAACGGGGTCAGGTATAGAGTAAAACTAAGATTGTGCACGCACGCATCTATCTAGCTGTATAGCAAACCAAGTGCGCGTATCCTGAGCGGCGCGCAGCTGAAAGTCGTGAGAAAATGTGAAACCGGTAAATTTACTATGTAGAGTAAATTTACTGAATGTTTGAATATGGAAAATGTTCTATATAGAATATAAATTTACAAATACTTGTATGGTAAATTTTATACTATATGAGGTAAATTTACTTTGTTTATGAGTAAATTTACTGGAAGTTTGAATAGGGAAAATGTTCTATTGAAGATACATTTACAAATACTTGGATGGTAAATTTTATACTATATGAGGTAAATTTACTTTGTTTATGAGTAAATTTACTGGAAGTTTGAATGGGAAAATGTTTTATAGAAGATAAATTTACAAATACTAGTATGGTAAATTTTATACTATATGAGGTGAATTTACTTTGTATAAGAGTAAATTTTCTGGAAGTTTGAATAGGGAAAATGTTCTGTAGATGAAAAGTTTACAAATACATAAATGGTTAGTTTACTATTTAGGGTAAATTTACTTTGTTGAGTAAATTTGATGAGTGTTTGAATATTGAAAATGTCTTAAAGAAGATAAATTTACAAATACTTAGATGGTAAATTTACTATGTGGAGTACATATACTGAATGCTTGAATATTGAGAATGTTCTATAGAAGATAAATTTACATACTTAAATGTAAATTTTACTTTGTTGAGTTTACTGAATATTTCTAAATTGAAACAATTTAGTATGTTAAGGTAAATTCACATAGAAATGGTTTAATACAAAAGATAAATTTAAAATTGTTAAAGAAGGTAACATATTTTTCTACGTAGGAACTGACAAAGGAAGGTTAATTAGGTAAATAAATTTTTTTCTTCAAATAACTAGTCTAACATGATTCCGAATAAGGAAATGTTAAATATTTTCAAGACCTATTATGTATAAAATAGATTTTTTCTAAATATAAAACTTTAAGATCTTGTAATGACTCTCTTTATGAAATGTTAGCTTTTTTCCTTAACAATCCCACCCTGAAGTTCTACGTAATGCTTGCATTGTTTTAGTTTTGCTTTTAATCCCAACTTGTGAAGTTATAGAATGAAAGTCAGCCTTGCAAATTATACAAACAAAAATAAATCTATTATAATTCTACTGAATGCAGTACACGGATAAACCAAATAGATTACCAAGTACAATAGGTGGCAACGATAAATGGACCAATTATACATGACATCACAAGTGTCAAATATAATGAGGAAGACAACATTTTCTCCCAGTAGTTGACATGTTTCTCAAGATTAAATAAAAAAGTGTAATATTAGAAAATAAAGAACACAAAATTGCACTTATTTCACTGTAAGATAGGCGCTTTATTATCACTATTATTAATAATTTTGTTGGACACAAATAACTGTTGACACTTGTGACGTAAGAATACAGCTGTACTGGGAGTGTACAAATTCTACGTTGCCATCTATTGTACTTGATAATCTATTTGGGTTAAACTAGCATTATAAGATCAGATTAAAAAATCTGAAGTAAAAGAATGAACCATCTGTATGTAGAATGACTTTATAATACGTTTAAAAGAAGTTGACGATGATGTAATTACTGAAATGATAAACATGTTATGCAATTATCAATATTAGTGTGACTGTCGGCTGTTTTACATCTTTTTAGTACATCTAAATATCTTATTTTCATTATAATATTGTATTGTGTATCTTTGGTTGGAAGAAATATCTGAAGAAGAAAGATTAAGGTCTGTACAAAACTAAAGGTTCTTCTTAGATTTTAGACTGTTATTATTTATCTAACCATTATTAATAAAGGATTAGGAAGGCGGATTAAAAAAAAATTCAACTTATTTGCTTCGATCAAGATCAATTTTAGTAAGACGATTTTGAGAAAAATGATTTTCCTTAACACGTTTTTAATATTCAATATCTATGCTTTTCCGAGTGAAGCAAAAGGCGAAATAACCAAATTAACGGTAAAAAATTAAGAGACAAATATATTCGCCGTTTTTAAATCTAAAATCTGGTTTAATAACACTAAACATAGTTTTTAAATAGTCTAAATTATACCTATAAAAAAATTCAGCGCAAAGAGGAAGAAAAAGATCATATTTACATAAAAATATCACACTTTTTTACAATTAAATAAAACCTAGCTGCGTTTTTCTGAATAATATTTAATTCATACATCGGATGAACATCACTGATATAATATTTAATAATTTCAACAAATTAAATATTCATAAAATTATGCGTTCCTTCCGTAACTGAAATTAATAATTAAAATATATCAAATCTAGATAAAAGCTAAGTGGTGGACTATCATTTCTTTAAATAATAATAAATTCATGAATATAGGTGTAAAAACGTTAAATTGTGAGAACCTGGCAGGATTAGATTCAAATTTTTAAATGCCCAAGTTGGTCAAAACTGAAATAACACACAACTAAGCTTTTCTCAGAAAATCTACGAAACAAATTTGACCAAATTGCGCAATTTTTAGAAAATAAATTACTCTTCTCTACAAATCGAGGCATGAAGGAATAGAACCAACTAATATTACAGTGTTAACGGACTTAATCTTGAAATAATTATTGGGACGAACCCCTCGACCGAATACCGATCACAGATAATGCCTAAAGCTATTTGGGGGAGGGGGGGGGGACAGGAAAATATTTTCTATCGGATGTCAATATCTTTTATAAAATACAATTGAGGAATGGTGTAACATTTTGTAAATTTAAACTTATCGATCAGATTCAAATTAGTTCACTGTATGCGTGTTCAGACATAATTTAATTGACATTTCACCAGATTTTTGGGAATAGGATACATCATGAAAATCTAAAGAAAAATAAACTTAAATCATCATAAGTGATAAAAACCGGTTAAACTAGAAAAATCTTAAATATTAATCTTGATTCTTGAATTATCATGTATCCGTGCAACACCTTATTTTCAATTAACTTAACAAAATCAATTCGACGAAATTAGGCATCACATTTCGGAAATATTAACCAAAATCAATTATAACATATAAATTGATTAAGATATCCAACATTTAAATTGATGAAAATTGCTCGTTAAATCTATCACGGTCAATTAAACTGACCCTGATCCTCAACAGTTTAACAATTGATCAAGAATCAAGATATCCTAACTGATTTGGGTAAAATTGATCAATGTCTCGGCAACTTTTAAACATAAAAACTTGATTAATGACTGAGAAGGAAGTAAACCCTGGTTTCTGGTTCTCAAGTACAGCTGCTGAAGGAAAACAAGAAACACATTAAATCAGAGACATTCGGCCACCTTAGGGTTCATATTTACACTCTTTTTCTCAATCTGTAAGTAAAAATCAAATCAATTTCATCATCATTAATTTAATAAAGTTGATTCAAGTTGATAATTTAATATCTTATTATGCAACAAAACATTTCCTTCATTCGTTTTCAACATTTTTGCTTATTAAAAAATATAAAAGTTATTCTTTTTTAAAATTTTAAAGACAGTAGGTTNTGATCTTAATACGGACCAGGAGAAAATATATCTTGCCAACTATTACATCCTGGAGCAAGGTTACAGTTACATCAGGAGGATCTTATTCACTTTTTAAATGGAGGGCCATGTGAAATTATGCCTACAGTCCCTTTAATACTGCACCTGTGGGGATCCGGGTTCTGAATCGGGGGCATCCGGTAAATCAAAATCCGGAGAGGAGGGAACCTCAATCATATCCGGGGGCGTACTCGGCATATCCGGGGGAGTATCAAGCATTTCAGGGGGTGTGGCAGGGGGTCCACCGCCCCCTGATACAACATCAAGATCCTTGGTGCTATCCGTATCCTCTTCTCCGTCCTGTATTGTCAGATCCCGGGTTCCACTCACAATATCAGGCGGAGCTCCGCCCTGAGACGTTTCATCATCTATCTCCGTCCGGGACTTTTCTCCGTTCCAGGTTTCCGAGTTCTCAGCTCCAGACTTCTCTGGAGAACCTTTATCTATAGAACTAGGTTCTGTCGATCCCTGAGCAGAAGAATCTTCTTTTGAAGACTGCTCCGTTGAACAATCATCCTGCACCTGCTCCGTAGAACCGTCCTCCTGCTCCTTCTCCGTAGAACCATCCTTCTGCTGATTATTATCATGATCCTGCTCTGGCTCCGGGTTTCTCTGTCCAGGAAACCCTGATTGAGAATCCAGGCATGGTGTTGGGGGAAGAGAGGGAGTGGGGGCAGTACGGATACCCTCGGTTGGGAATTCTCCAGCAGTATGTCGAGCCAGAGCATGCTGCTGTTGATAGAGGGACCCGGAGAGAGGAAGTTTCCGTGATCTTTCACCTTTCCTCCAAAGTGTTATCTCCTGAATAGAATTAAAAATTAAGAATAAAATAAAAATGTTAAAATTAAGATGCAATCAATAAAACCGGAATTAACCTCGTTTGTCAAAAATCTATACAAATAAGGTTAATTGCAAAGTTTTTTTTCTCGAAAGAAACCCAACCTGCAAAGTTCCATTTAAGATTTTTAGAGGCCCAGGGATATATTTAAATATCAGAACTTGACAAATGGGAAACTTAATACAACTCTAGTATAGATCAGAACTTGACAAATGGGAAACTTAATACAACTCTAGTATACATCAGAACTTGACAAATGGGAAACTTAATACAACTCTAGTATAGATCAGAACTTCAAAATTGAACAAAAGTCCAACAGAGTTCGGTTAATCTCATTGTAATGAAAGAATCAGTTTAACTTATTTAATTCACTTTAGCGCTCTGACCTTTGGTGCTAATAATAATTATTAGATTCTACCAGAGTGAGATTTGGTCGCCATTTTTGCCCCTATTGGCCCCCCCCCCTAAAAAATGTTGTCTTCCAACTTCTCAAAAAATGTTTATTTTTTTAAATTCTAATTTGTGACTTAATAATTTTAGTTTTGATGTGAATACTACTAAATATGAAATGTCATCCTAAATATTGCTACAACATTTTCAATTAAACCCCTTAGAAATCATTTGGCCGCTAATAAATATCCTTAAGTTTATTACAATACCAAGATTTTAAGATATTGTGCAGTTAATATTAATTTTAAATAATGAGCTAAATATTTTCTGCGTAACTTCATGATTAAAGTAGAAAGAACATATCGTTTTCATTATTAGATTTTAGTTCAGATCGCGACAAATAATAATGGATTTCAGATGAAGATGGTAAAGCGGGGGGAAATTAATGTGCGAGAGAGGTCGGATATTTTAATGAAGATTGCGCTTATCTACAACATTAATCAAAAGTGGAAACTTTTAATTGCTGAATCCTTAATCCACCCTAACCAGATCAATAGCGACATCTCGTTTAGAGGTGTCCAGAAGAGTTTTAATTAATCCGTCGGACCACATGATACATTTATAAGATTTCAGAAGGGATTTACCATAGATAAAGATAGATTGCGCATAAGACGACATTTTTATCTTGAAAGATATAAATGTACAGAGATCATTGAAGTACACTTTGACCCCTAGAAGTATAGTTCGCGGACTGTACAATTCTTGGTGATTTTGCGTACATAAGCTATCTATGTTTATTATTTATCTATGGATTTACCATACATTAGTTTCGAACTGAAATAAACTCACTTCGCTATATTCTCGTTCTCATGGTATGTATTAGGCCCTGTACCACAGGTTTCTCGTTTAATGATTGCAATCTCCATATGCTTGATCTTAATACGGACCAGGAGAAAATATATCTTGCCAACTATTACATCCTGGAGCAAGGTTACAGTTACATCAGTTCTTGAGTAAATAATAAATGTGTTGTGACAAAAGAATGGGTTTAAAAATTCAAAAAATGGCCGGCACCTAATTTTTTTCCTCTGTTGATTAATTTATTTCAACACACATCTTTTTTGTCCCTGGCGATACAAAATTACATAATGGGCGAAATTCTTTGGAGAAGACCCCAAATTTTTTGTTTTTTAAATTGGAAATAGAAATCTTAAAAAAGTTAAGGGAGAATGGAAACTCAATTAATTAAGAAAAAATCAAAGAAGATGGATAAATAAGGAGGATGGAAAAGTTACGGTGTAGGATAAAAATTCAACAAAAAGTAAAATTCAGTTTTAAAAAGTTTGAAAATACCCACAAATATAAAAATAGGATGAAGCGTTAAACAAAGAATCGGGAAGGGAAACTCAAAAAAAAAATGAATATTAGAAAGATTTTAGATCAAACTGTGCAATGTTTAGACAATTTGAGCGAGTTTAGAAACAATGGTTGAGACTAAGAACATAAGTAACAGTTCCTTGAGATGATATTTAGATTTGTTATACTCGAACTCTATATGAAGACACTCTTCTATCCCAACCTCCATCTTTATAGGATTATTCATCTCAGGATAAGTTGCAAGGGTCTGAACTGCTACATCTAGCTCCTAGATATAGGAATATTAATCTCAGGATAGGTTTATATTTTTAGTTGGATTAATTTCAGGACTCCTAAATAAAGAATCTCTGTTTATTTTATGATATTCATAAGGATATATAATATATATATATTACATACAAATATACTCGTTTGGCTAAAATATGTAGTCATCAAAATTTCAAAAAAGACATCTTTTGTCCCTTTCATTTGTTATCGACATTTTGGCTTTTAAATAGGACATCTCCACAATCCCCTTTATCAATATCATAGACACCCTGACCTAATTTTGATGTTACTAAAGTCCTAAAGGTGTCTTCAACTTTTAAGGGATAGTTAATTAAGGTTCCCAGAGTTTCTCTGCGTTTAAGAAAATGCTCGAAAAAAAACGAGTTTTTCTCATTATTTCGTATTCATAAAAAAATATTATTTACTTAAATCTCCCAAAAATACGAAGGTTACCAATTTAATTAACTTCTATGATCAGATATTAAAAAAATAGTATGATTATCTAAAAGAGAAAACTTCAATGTTTTTAATTTAGAATATATCTCCTTTTTATAATTAATTTTATGAATCATCTGATAAATTTTTATTCAGTAAACGATGTAGTCGTAGGAGGCTGTTTTTTTTGCATGTGAACTCTGAAATATTGTACCTAATGTGTTATTTTTTAAAGAAAATGTATTCATAGTGTATACCCCTGTGGCCTGTTATTGAGATATTAGAAACTAATGAAAACCTGTTGTTTGAAATATCTACGATCTTCTTCATCTACCAGGACAAGGTTTAGATAATAGCGGACACTAAACTTCTTGTTGATATCACGCATAGTTGGGGTCAGATCATACCTGGACAAATAAAAATTAGTATATTATCATCGCGTGTAAATACTAAATAATGCCATTTAACTTACAAGTACGTAGACGTAATTTAAAATCTCTGTTCCATTCATATCGTAGCATGTCCAATTAAAACGGTATCCTTAAATGAATTAGATAGCTATGTTTTATCTAAACAAATTACTCATTTTAAATTATAGGTTTCGCAGATTTCTGCGACAGAAACAATGGAGGAAATTGTGAAAACAACCGCATTTCAAGCAAGAAAACTAATATATCTTCTATTTTAATTCTCATGTAAAGGTTAAAAGGATACCGTTGTGAATCGAGCATACCTTTCTTTCAATGGATGCTCACTGAAATTGAAACGACAGTACCTTAATGGTTTTTTTTAAAGTAAAAATTTCTTAAAAATTACAAATTATTTCTAGCTTATTAAACTTCCGCTAAATTGTTAACCTTACCTTACAGACTGTCAAATAATAAAACTTACCCTGCTAAGAAAACTCTGATAGGAATAGATTCTCCACGAACTGGAGCACCATCCATTATCTCATACCTTCACACAAACATTTAGTTAAGAGTTATCGGTGAACTGATAACTTTTGAATCATTGAATTGAGTTTAACTCGTTTATACTCATGGGAAGATTGACTGAGCTGCGGAGATTTATTAGGAGGTCCGTTAGGTTTAATCGATCTCATATTGGTCAAAACTTGACAAATGGGAAACTAAATACAACTCTAGTATAGATCAGAACTTGACAAATGGGAAACTTAATACAACTCTAGTATAGATCAGAACTTGACAAATGGGAAACTTAATACAATCCCCATATTAATTTGTCAGTTAAAAGGTTTTAGTATTAATTAAAAAACAAATTAAACATAATTTGGAAATATATTACCTTAGTCTCACGTTTACTCCTGCATAGGTTTCAAAAGGTTTCTCAACTTGGTTGAATTCAAAGTCAAAGCTCGCGTTCTGTGTCAGGTCACCGGGCCGCGCCAATTCTTTGGACTAAATCAAATATACAATCAATCAATGTAATAATTAATCAATCAATTGATGTAATAATCGTTAATAAATTAATCAAGCTAATAATTGATCAATAAATCAATCAATAAATCAATAGTTGCAACAGTGACCCAATACTAAAATAAATTAACCGACAATGAGGGTAGTTGAGCTTAAAGCGCAGTATTTTAGAATAAAAATTAGGATTCATTGATGACAATAATATGAATAGCAAGCTGGATGGAGAATATCAAGCTGGGTGGAGATTATTAATGTGGGTGGAGAACATCAAGCTGGGTGGAGAACATTAATGTGGGTGGAGAATATTAATGTGTGTGGAGAATATTAAGGAGCCTTTTGTACATTTGAAAATATTAGATTTAAGCACAAGTCTAATATTTATTTACTCAATGGCCAAAAATGTCTGTGTTTAAAAAGTCACGCCACATTTGTTTGAACCAACTTTAAAATAAAAATTTTGACCCATAAATTTTTTATAAAATCTAAAACAAATACAAACATTTCATATTTAAAAAATTTTTTAACCACGACAAATCCTTAAATATAGCCGGAAATCAATGAATCAATTAAAAAATGAATGTTTAGTTAACTTTACCAATGAAAGGAACTCATGATGATTTCCTCGATCATAATAAAGTTCTATGAGACCAATAAACTCAATCTTTATACCCTGATGCTCCAATCTTCCGGTCTTTCTGCAAATAGAAAAGTTTAGTAAACGTTAAAGAAAGTTTCAACAAAAGTTTAAGTGAAAAGAATCAAAAAGATTCACGTCGTTTTGTATCTGGAATTGAAAACAGGTAGCCGCGGCCGCGGAAAAAAAGTGCCAAAATTTGTTTTATATCAGAAAGAATTTAGAATCAGATTATGATCTAAAACAGGGGTGTATATTTTTCTGCTCACCCTCCCCCCCGCCGGGTAAAAAGGGAAGAAAAAGGGGGCAAGAGGGAATGGAAAAGGGGGAAGAGTGTATGGAAAAAACACCCCCTAAAAAAACACGTTCCATTATACTACTAAAATCCAAAAATTTTCTTTACATAGGGGGCTCTGCCCCCCCCCCCCAACGCAGCAAACTAGCGCCGGCTTCAGAAACCTGTAAAATTTAAAAGTTGTGGATTAAGGGAAAAAACATGATTCCGAAAGGGGGGGGGGGGCAAAAATATAAGTCTCAACTATATACACCCCTGCATTTAAAGTGAACTAAATTGAACCGTGGAGTTTGGAACTCTAAATCATAGGGTTACTCAAAATCAAATAAAAATAATAAATGATCCGATTTACAATCAAATTGCCGGAATTATATAAAAGTAGAAGAAGGCATAAATTTATCAAATAAACTAAACTCCCAAGAATAATTTATGGTTGAAACTATTCGGCACTTTTTGATAAAAATGCTCAAATCCACCTTGCAACAGTTCTAAAGTTTTCTTTGATACATTTTAAAAAAAGATTTGAGATTTTTTTTTCAAACTCATTCAGATTTATTGCTATTTAGTTTAGATCAAATCAGAAATGTAAACCAGAAAATTTTAAAGTCGCAAAAATCCCTTGAAAAATAGTCAAATTATATGCATAAAACCTATTTTGTTTAAAGAAATATGACACGAGTAAAAAAACTAGTTTTTTCGTCTTAAACAAACAATTTAAGAAATATTGAAAAACCGACAAATGAACTGTCTTCAAGGGTTTAAGGCGCATCTTTTAATACCGATAACAACATGTTTTGAAAAAAAAATGAAAAATCTACCTTCCCTTATGATAGCCGTTTTAAAAAAATTAAAATCGTTAATTTTTGAATAAGTAATGATTTTTTTCATTTTTTTCTTTTGCTAATGTTGCTTCTAATATTCAACTGTATACAGTTTATTTGCAGGTGCAACAAGGATTTGACATTTTTAACGAAATAGTTTAACCTTTAAGAATATCGTATTTTTTGTCATTTTACCTGTGTAGTGTAATATTAACTTTTCCTGTCACGCTTTCTCCATCATAGAAAAGATAAAACCTTTCTTTTCTTCCATTCTCATCTTTCACTTCAGCCATCTTAATATTTCAAGTGGTTAAATATCTTTCCAATCCTTTCTCATCTTTCACTTCGACCATCTTAATATTCAAATAGTTAAATATCTTTCCTTTATTTTTTTCTCATCTTTCACTTTGGCCATCTTTATATTTTATATAGTTAAATATCTTTCCTTTCTTCCTTTCTCATCTTTAAATTTAATATTTCAAGTGGTTAAATTTCTTTTCTTTTTTTCCTTTCTCATCTTTCACTTCAGCCATCTTAATATTTCAAGTGGTTAAATATCTTCAGCCATCTTAATATTCAAATACTTTTCCTTCAGTCTATATCTTGTAAGATAAATAATTAAACCATAATAATAATCATCAAATCTACATTACGTCGGCAGTTCAAAAGTCGATTTTCAACGTTATTAACCCTTTTAACACGCCGGGATATAAACTTCTACGAATGACAAATTGTACTAGTTTGTGCAGCCCTTTTTGAAAATTTAAAATTAGCATGCCTGACATCTAAGGGAAAGAATTTCAGTATGGGATGGGGGAAAAAATATTAAAAGAAAAAATAGATACCCCTGTATTTTTTAGAACCCCCCCCCCCATCCAATTTGTTCCCTGAAAATATTTTTTCTTCAACTGTTTAAATTAAGTATTTGACCGAAAACAAAAATGTTTTACAGTTAAATAGGGGGGGGGGGGGCATTTTAAAGGTAAATACAAAGTATGGATAACCACGCTTGTTACTGGATGCAAGCACATCAGAAAAATAAATGAAGATGAGGGAGGGATTCAAAATAATTGAATAATAAGTCGGAAAATTACTAACCTTTCTAGAATCTGCATCATCAAGGATTATATCTATCTCGGCTCCGCCGCCGAAATTAATTCCAAAAAAGCTCTGAAAATAATCATGTTTTTTTATTAAAAAATTTCTCTAGAATTGGGAATCAAATAAATCTGAATGGATTGAATTTTCTATTAAAAAGATAATTCAGAGAACTCAGTATTAAGAGTTAAATAAGAACCAGAAATCAGAAATCAGAAATCAGAAATTAGAAATCAAGAATCAAGAATCAAGAATCAAGAATCAAGAATCAAGAATCAAGAATCAAGAATCAAGAATCAAGAATCAAGAATCAAGAATCAAGAATCAAGAATAAGAATTAAGAATAAGAATCAAGAATAAGAATCAAGAATAAGAATCAAGAATCAAGAATCAAGAATCAAGAATCAAGAATCAAGAATCAAGAATCAAGAATCAAGAATCAAGAATCAAGAATCAAGAATCAAGAATCAGAATCAATACTAAGATTCAAGAATAAGAATTAAGAATAAGAATCAAGAATAAGAATCAAGAATAAGAATAAGACAAATTCAATAAGAATCAAGAATAATTATAAACATCAAGAATCAAGACAAGAATCGAGAATCAGAATAAGAAACAAGATTCTAAGGATTACACAGTTTGAGAAACCCCGACCACCAGCGAGAACATAAAACTATAAAGATGAAGGTCTTCTCGTTATAAATGCTTCAACCCCCCCCCCCCAAAAAAAAAAACTCACCATGATCTAAGATACGTCTCACTGGTGTATAAAAGTACTCAGTATTCTACATCAACAACTGCGCATTTTTCTGAAAATATATATTTTTCACATTGTTTCAGTAGAAAATAAAAAGTTTCAAGTATCAAATATCACAGGGTTAAACTAAGCAGACAGGCCCAATTCAAACACATCGTTTGGAAAACAATGGTTATTATGAATATCATATTATCTTTTTCTGTATGCTTAGTATTTGAACATCCATTAGGTTTGTTCCTGAGTGTCCTGTTTTGACAAGACCTCCTCCAACCTTTGTCCAGAAACTATAGCTGTCATTATTCTCCAGATACAACTCAGGGTTCAGCCCTGAACTTTCTACAAGATCCCAAATATATCTAAAAAAATTAAATACTTCATCGTAACTTTTAGCAGTGCCCAACTTTGAGTGTCATTAAAACTTCAAAATGGTCAATCAAAAAAAAATTCTACATAAAAATATGCAAGCAAGAAATAAACCGAAATTTGTCAAATTTTAGAGAGAAAAACAAGGAGCTCTTCGCTGCTATTTATGGGTTGAAAATTGCCAAGACCTGGGAAACAAAGAATTCTTCATTGACCTTGTAACACAAGCTCCAGCAGCATCAGTAGGTCCGTCAATACCATCCGTTCCACAGGAGAGAAACTCAACATCAACACTACAATAATAGGAGCACCGGAGAAAAAAAGTTACAACCGGAGAAAAGGAGTTATTCCTTGAGGAAATCGATTTCTACAGGCGATCAGGAGTTGCAGCGGGATAAAAATTCAAAACTTAATGTAACAGACATTATCCAATCAAGGCCAGGAGGATTTATTTCTTTAAAATAAAAATAGGAAAGGGATTTAAATTATAAAATAACTATATCTTCATATATACACAAACCTTGACTTGTGTGAGAATAAAGCAGCAGCAGATATTCCAAATGCCAAAACCATCTCTTGATTACGTCCGCCTTTTCCTTCGCCCCTGATTTTCACAGTTGTCTCGCCTCCGCCCATTACTATAACCCTGGACCCTGAGTATAATTTATCCTGGATTCTCATCAACACATCTGTACTTTCATACTTCAGTCCTGATAACAAAGAAGAGTTTTCTAACAGGGTCGCATCCGTTAAACTAAACCAATTATTCTTTAAGCCCAATCAGAAATGTTAAGGATTTTACAAAACAAGAAAAGGGTTTCATGAATATTGGACTAGAGGTAGAAGAAAATGGTTTCCTAGTAGCGAGCAGAGACCAGAGTTTTCCAACCTCGCAAGATTCTCCAGATGTTGAACTAGAGAGAACAACTGTTTCACATCCGTCCTGAGCAAATTTTAATCCTTATCAATTTGACACTTTTTCATCTTTTTCATCGGACCCATTTTTTAAATTTCAGCAAAAATAATGTTTGACCAACCTTTAAAGCCCGTTGATTCATTTTCTCTAAAGCAACACTGTTGTTTCCGATCAGAACATTCTGGATTCTTTCAAATTTACTCTGGTCAACCTCAACCTTAAGTAAGTGCGCGTGCTGTTAAAATGGCGCTCTCTTTTTTCAACAGTCAGAATAGGCTTTTGAGATCGGAATATTTTTTTTTCAGTTTTTGGTTGACATTTTGCACCTTGGATCCGGATCCGTGGATCCACATAATTTTGCGGATTCGAATCCAGGAAGCCAAATTGTTGCGGATCCAGATCCTAAGCACTAAATTTAATAAATATTGACAACCTTAGATCTGAGAGCCTCGTCTGGGACCAAGTTTAATAGATTGTATTTCTCCAAGACTGCTGTTGCGCTGACCAAGTTTGAATGATGTACGGTGGGTCCACTAGCAATAACATTTAGAGGATCTCCGATAACATCAGAGAGAATTAGCGTCAGAACCTAAGATCATCAATAAAGATTTTTAAAGTTAAAAAGGGATATCAAAATAAGAAAATGTCTTTGGCAGGAAGAAAGAAAAAAAAGAAATTTTGATGAATTAATAGATGCCTGTGCCGGATACATGTAATTGGCCAATCCTCCGCCCTTAACCAGAGATAACTGTGACCGAACCGCATTCAACTCTTCAATATCTGCCCCAGCGTGAGTAAGGCGAAGAATGACCTCTTGCTTCTGACTCAAGGTGAGTCCAGGCACTGGGTAGGGGAGCAGGGCGGAGCCTCCGCCTGAGATTAGAACAATAACCAGATCTTCCTCAGTACAGGGTTCGAGACATTTCAAGATTTGTTGACAAGCCAGTAAACTAGAATAGGAGAAGGTTCTAGCAAAACCAGGGCCATCTCTCTGAAAAAAAAATAAGAAACTTGGAATACAACATAAAACCTATTTTCTAGTCCACTTCTCCCCTGTGTTTATCAGGAAGGTTGTTCTCAGCTCCTTCAACCACATTGATATTATTCAGCCTACACGCTTCAATAACCGAACCTTCTAAAATAAGATGAACATGAATTTTTTACTTTTTGAAATAAGAACTCCTAATGCTGTTTAACTTTCTCGAGAAGAACAAATTAATTATAGAACATCTTTTAAATATCTGACATGTTTGAAAATGATGTACATTGCTAAACCTGTTGCGGAAATCCCGAGAGGAACACTGAGAACACCCCCCTTAATTCTTCCGGTCAGCTCTTCTACAAGATATCCTGCCATACACAGAACAGCCTTCCAGACACAAACCATTCATAAGTACTGGGGTCGGCCCTAGTATACGATTTTTGGACCCCCCCCGCCCCCCCCCCCCTCCTATCAATTTTGTACATGACCATTTATTTCTCAGCAAATTTATTATTATTTATTTTTTTGTTATTTAGGGTTAGGTTAGGTTAAGATACTTTCCGGGCCGAGCGCTGCGGCCACGGGTTAGGTTAGTTAAGACACTTTCTGGGCCGAGCGCTGCGGCTAGGATGGGCTAGGGGGCCGAGCGCTGCGGCCACGGGTTAGGTTAAGTTAAGAAACTTTCTTGTCACACCCATGTACAAAATTGAAGGGAGGGGGGGGGTCCAAAAATCGTATACTAGGAAATTACCAAGTACTGTACTGTTAAAAACAAACCAGTATACTGATACAGATTATGTACAATACTGTATACGAGTTCAGTTTTGATTAAAAATACCCCTAGAAAAGGTTTTAAATTATAGATTTGGTGTCCCTTGCCAAAACCAACTATTCTGCATCCTCTAGATAAAGTTTATCTATGTTATCATACAGATACAAGATACAATAATAGAAATCATTTTTAATTTTAACCTCTTTAGGTCGTATTGGAGGTTGAAGTTGGGCAGAATTAAACAGTCCTCAGCTACATGTAATACATCCGACATCAACGAGTCAGGTTTAAGTTCATCCAATGCAGATTTGAATATAGATTCGGTCAAGCAACATTCAGATGTCATCTTTTAACTAATGGTGATCTTAAAACATAACTAAATATGGATCTCGTTTTTTTCAGTACTTGTTTAGGTCACTTTCTAATGGAACGTATAAACCTTCATTGTTAGTGTATCCAATATGATAACTTTAATATTAAAGACGATTTTTCATTCTTGCCACAGCTGTGGGATGGCAGTAAAGTGTTTTCAATTAACAAAAATTAGATCAAGTGTTGAGGGGCGTCAATGTACTGCTGAATGAAAATCTGAAGAATGCCGCAAACGGTTCTCTACACTTACACCGATTCAGCAGTTAGCAGGGATAGTTATACTCTTCAAAAAAATAGATTTAAAATTTCGCATTTGATTGAAATTCATTCAAAAACGATAAAATAAATATTTTCTTTTTTAAAAAAGGTTGTTGGTCGTCTTCTATTTTTTGGACTCATATTTTCAGGCGTCGTTCCTAACTTGGCGGAGGGGGGGATAGATAAAACTCCTAAGAATGCGCGA